TACGTTACGATCTCAATGCCGTCTGGAGAGCGAGGAATTCCGGAAAGGTAGAGGTTAAACAGTTCCGGAGATATCACCCCACCTTGGGGAACTCCCTGTTTCACTCTACGGGCTTTGGACTTCTTGTTCCGGAATTCCACGTACGACTGGCGTCCACACATATAGTTGATTATCCAACGTTTCAAACTTGGCCGGAGGGTAGTTCTCTGTACATCCTCAAACAGTGTGGCATGATTGACCGTATCAAATGCCTTTGATAGGTCAAGGGCTACCAACACTGTTCTGTCACACGGCCTGTTCTGGTTCAGTCCTCTACTAATATGTGTGGAAATGGCGTGTAATGCTGTTGTGGTACTATGTTGTGGACGGAATCCATGCTGGTGGTTGGCAACTGTATAGCTTCCTCTAATGCTGGGGAGGAGTAAAGCCTCAAGAGTCTTTGCTACTGGCGACAAAAGCGAAATCGGCCTGTACGATTCGCCTTTACTGGCATCCTTGCCTGGCTTCAGTAGCGGGACCACCCGGCCCATTTTCCAGGTTTCGGGCACTATGTGGGTGGCTAGCGACACATTGAGAACTTTCGTTAAGTACTCGACTCCCGGCGTATCCAGCTGCTTCAACACTACCATTGAGATTCCGTCCGGGCCCAACGCTTTGGTTGACTTAGCGTTACGGATGACATTTGCAACATCACCCATCGTAAACTGTGGTGGTTCCTCCTCGGCGGGAAGAGATCTGATACGACGTAGTACTCTTCGCTTCGCCCTATCGCTCTCGGGGTGCTCGACAAATTGTCGGTTAAAATATTCCGCGCACCTCTTCGGATCAGTCACCGTTACGTCGTTAAAAGTGACTGAGGTCCTATCATCCTTTTTCCCAGGGTTCGAGAGCGATTTAACCGTTACCCACAGCTTACTCATATCGGTTCCAATGTTGCAGCACTTCAGATGGTCTAGCCACTTTTTCCTCTTATGCTCCTGTACCAACCGGTTGACTTCCACTGTCAAATCACTGATCCTAGGATCAGTAGGGTTGGTACGACGGAGATCATCACGCTCATTTGCTAATCCCGCTGCCTCCGCTGGGAAGTTTGGTCTTATCTCGGGTATTCGACCAGCAGGTATATATAGCGAGCGGCTGCAGCTCTGATGATGTTTCGGAAAATCCTTTCTGCTACCCGAACATCAGAAGGGTTGGGCAGTTCTCTGAAGCGGCGGTTGGTGAATTCTCTGAACTCTGGCCAGTGAGCTTTCCCATGGTTAAGGAAAATGCGGCGTTCAGAGGTTATGAAATCGGGCGACCTGCTTATGGAGACGATTATCGGGAGATGGTCTGAGCCAAGAGAAATGACGGGTTGCCAAGTCACGTCATTTATCAGACCGGGTGACACTATGGTTAAGTCTGGCGAACTGTGACACTCTCCTCTTATTCGGGTGGGGGCATCCTCGTTAACCGTGCAGAATGTGGAGCAGTCAATCTGCTCTGCCAGCGCTGATCCCCTCTGGTCATTACCTAGGACGGAATGCCACAACTCATGGTGGGCATTAAAATCCCCTAGTACCAGACGGTTATTGCCTACCAATAATGGGCTAATATCAGGCAAATAACGCGGTTCACAGCTATTAATCGGCGGGATATACACATTAAGCACCTCTACCTCGGCAGTTCCACACTTGACTGCTACCCCCATACATTCCATGTATGGGTCACTAGAGACTAGCTCAAGCGAGATAGGTCTGTACTGAACAGAATGGTGTAACAGGAACGCTAATCCCCCACCTCCACTTCTGGTGCGATCCTTCCTTAGTACGTTGTAACCATAACAACGTTGTAGGCTGCAATTTTCATTCAGCTTGGTTTCCTGCACCGCTGCGATCTTAATATTCCTCCGACTCATAAATAATATTCCTCCGACTATCTCATCTATTTTGCCTCGAAGTCCGTTGCAATTGAATTGCAAGAATGATGCACAATCCGGAGTTGGAACAGCAACATGTGGCGTTAGGTGCTGCGGTGTTGGTTGCTGTTCTGGAGACTGCGGTGGAGTGCCATACTCCGACGACGTCTCTGACGAGGACGACGAAGAAGAGGACTCGCTGGGGACTACGTTACTGCAGCAAGTCGCAACATAATCCCTTTCGCTGTAGTCTCGCAAACGCCTTAATCCGGAACAGTTCTTGAAGTGCACCCACTCTCTGCATCCATTACATCGCACCGAGACAGATCTGTGGTGGATGACGTTCTGACAAACCGAGCAGAACCAAGGACCGGGGTTTTCTTCAATCCCGGCACGGACCAATAAAATCCGGAGCAAGCATTCCGGGATATGCTGCTCCCAATGCAGAAAAATAAACAAACACAAACATGTACATACTGGGTTGGCAGCCGCTGGCCGAAACTGGAATCTTGTTGTTTCGGGTCAATCCGGTATCGTAGAACCCGCTGCCGTGGGATTGATGTCTGGTATCAAATATCATTGTAGTCGAATGCATATTACGAATGTGAGGGACTTAAACACCAAATCGGATGAAACATATATATGGGAGTTATAGCTATGTTTGAGTCGAATTTCCCCAAATTTAATGTACTTTCTTCTAGACTGAATTTGGTCGGATTTGCCAAAATTTAGGTCATTTGGACTGATATTGGCCATTTGGTGCAAAATTAACGAGAAATCATAGTAAAGACTTCTACGTTCTAGCAATTCTGGAACAGACCTATTCGGAATTGTCACTTTAGTTTTTATACCCTACAACACTATGTGTTGGGGGTATTATAAGTTGTAAAATGGACCACAATTTTTGTGTGAAATTGTTTTGAATACCTAACAACACGACATAGTAAGTAAATATTGAACAAATGCCCCCGGTCAAATGCCTATGAGATTATTTCAAAAACGAAATCTTTCAAAGCGGATTTGAACATAAGGGGGCTTCTAACTTATTGTAGTGCTATAGGGTATCCTATTGTCCTCCTCCATGCAAAATTTCTTGAAGACCGGACGATGATTGCGACCTGTATATAATACCTTCAACACAATTCACACAATTCAAATTTATAAGTCAAATTGAAAAAATCGCATGCGATAAAAAATATGACAAAAATTGAAAAAAATGTAACAAAAAATATTCACTTTTTTATTGGCATCTTTTTACGCAAATTTCTTAGAGGTTATCCTATTCTGGATAATTGTTTCAAAGTTCGTAATGAAATATGCTTTTTATGACAGAACATTGTGTTTGCAGGTCAACGTCTTCGTATATATACCCCATATAACGGTACCTCTTTTTATACCCGCAGACATATGGCTACAGAGGGTGTATATCATTTGATACGGTCAAAACGTGCCACATCGACATAACGGTTTTAGACCCTAAGTCTCTTTAGGCCAAATCCATTTCAGGACATTTGGAGTCGATCTAGCGATGTCCGTAACTCTCGAAGGGAGTATCCGATTTGGTTCAATATTATTATCAAATTTAGATTGAGTTCGGAGATGGGCAATACCGGCCCACTCTTTCTGGTACCTCCTTCCTTTACCTTTTCTGGTAAGCTTTCAAAAAAATATTTTACTGCATAGAAAGAGAAAGTATGATCCGATTTTTCTCCAACTTTGCAAATCCTAATATTTGTACCAGTGCTAGGTCAGGTGTGAAAATGGACAATATCGCTTCACTCCCACAAATGTTCAAAATTTTGATTAATTACAAATTTCATAAAATGTGATGTAAGAGTCCGATTGTCTTCAAATTTTACACATCAAAATATTTATATTAGTACCACTCCTTTTGGTACCTCCTCCAACAAAAGGTCGAAATTTTCAAAAAATATGTTTTTTGCACAGAAACGATTTTGCTCCACTTTGCAAAACCTAATATTTGCATCAGTGCTAGGTCAGTTGCGAAAATGGACAATTTGGAGTACCAAAACAATTATAATATCCGAAATACGCATCCGGTTCTCTTCACACTTCACATATCCCATTATCTACTAAAACAAGATCTGCTTTGAAGATGGGATACATCGGTCCACTCCCTCACAAGGGTAACAATTTTAAATATCCACGAAGCTTGTAAACTGCGAAATTAACATCCGATTCCATTCAGACTCGGTATTTCTCGATATATCCATTAACACAAGATCTGTTTTAAAGATGGTAGAGATCAGACCATTTCTTCGGCTAGGGATCGGATCATTGTTCGGACCATTGCGAATATCGGATATTCAATATGGCCCATTAGAGATCAGACCATTTCTTCGGCTAGGGATCGGATCATTGTTCGGACCATTGCGAATATCGGATATTCAATATGGCCCATTTTCGAACTTGACATGCATTCAGACAAAGGACACTTCTGTGCAGAGTTTCTGCTTCTTATTGCAAATGGTTGGATTCTAGCGTCATTGCAGTAGACGGTTGGCAAGCCGAACTTAGAATTTTACGCTGATCAAGAAAATTTGTTGGGTTTACTATGATTCTTTCCATGAGTTACAAACGGAATGACAAACTTAATATACCTTGGTAAAATAAAAAAGAATGGAAGAGCTACCATTCGAAAATCCATAGCAGGCGAATTGTTAACATATTTTTTCAAACATTCTACATAATAGGACATCAAATATTACAACACATACAAAGATGACCTGAAACAGTTCTTTCACCTTCTTTGATTATTTGTGATCAAATAATATCCTTCTGTAATAACAAAAATTACATCTCTATTGTAGAAAAAACAAAATCGCCCGTACGACAGCTTTACAACAACCACAAATTTATAAATATACAAACCATATCCTAGCATGGTATATCCGTTTCCTTTGCTGGGTTGATTGGTTGGCGGTGTATTCAGTTTTTGTTGTCGTGCTTTGTCCATGATTTTTTTTTTTTGTTGCTGCACAATTAAATATTACATTTAGCATTGAATATTAATTGCAATGCCATAATGATTATTATGTTAAATAGCTAAAATGCTAATGGGAAAATAAAAGACAGCAACAAATAATCAGATGTATATTGTTTATTGTTTTTTTCTTTTTTCGTTACTTTTTATTATAATTCTCTTGTTTGTATAAATTAAATAAAATTGATTTATTATTTATTTTAATAATTAAATTATTTAAATTTCATTATTATTATTATTGTTGTTGTTATGTTATTACAGAGTTTATTTAATAAAACTTTGCTTACTGTTTTGTTGTTGTTTCGTTTAAATATAGATGTGATAGTTTAGGGCGAACACGCTTATAACAAAACAAGCAGGATAATACGATTTTCGATTTGAAAAAAAAATCGTTCGATTAAATCATTACAAAGAACAACGGGATTTAATGAACAAAAATGTTTAACCCAAGCTATTTGTTATGACCGTGTTCAGCCATGGTATGTATTGTAGAGTTCCATTTCAATTCGATATTAATTTTTTGGGAATTTAACTAATTTAAATGTTTCTACGATAGAATATTGGGTGGGGACAGATGTAAGTTGGCAAGGGGCACAGTTATTCATAAATATATTGCTGCTAACAATAGCTAAATTAAAAGAAAAAGTCTATAACATTTGGAATCTTACATTAGCAAAAGGAGTGTACTGTAGATGTTGAATTGCATTGGCGTTTCGTTATCAATCTGCTTTCAGCGCGAACTAAAGAAAACAATTTTAAAGGCATTGGAGATTTTGTATTGTTTTTTATATTCTGTATTTATTTTACACACACTTATTTTAAATAAATAAGTAACATTTATGTAAATTCATTTGTAATAAACCCAGTATGCAAAAAGTGAAAAGAAAGAGGCATATTAGATTATTGAACGAATAGCAATGGAAAAATTAACAATTGAAAACAAAAATCTTATTTTAAAGAAAATAAATGATAGTAAAGGTTAAATTAATAGATTAAATTGCTATCCATGACATACAATGGAAGAAAAAATTTAAGTAGAAATAGAAAATGAAATAAATTCAAACATTTTTGCCGTGCTGTGGAGGAAGAAGGAATGAATGAACGAATGACAAATTCTTTAAGTTTTAATACTAAATTCTTCTTTCACTCACCACACACACTAAGCAAAAAGTAAATTTTACAACAAACCTAACACCCGAAATAGCTTTAACACACAATCTCTAAATTACTTAACAGTTCGTACAAGTTCCCAGCAAGTTTTACCAAGTAATTAAGTTAATGTATGTTGTTGCTGTTGTTGTCATTAAGCCCTTTTCTATGGTTTCGGTTAAAAAGGCTGTTGTTGGCATGTTTGTTTTGGAATTTCATTAAATTAAGCAGAAACCTATAAATAAAAAAATGCCTAGGAAATTGCTTTATTTCGAGGAAACTACTCCATCTTTCCATCCATTGTTTTGTTTGCTTTTATCTGCATTCCTCTTCTTATCTTTCTAAATCTTTGCAATTTGATTGTTTCTTGTCATTTTGCATATTCACTCTTCAGATTTTTTGGAATTACCAACAACAATTGGCCATTATTTCAAATGCAATTGTTGAGTTCTTTTTGGAATAGTTTTGTTAAAAAATTTTCTTAGAAATGTTTAAAATTAATGAGAAAATTGCTAATCAAAATAATTTAAATTATTGCGTGATGTGATGACAATTAGGAGGCATCCTTACGCACACGACGTTTGCGTGGCTTATTTGAAGTCGTTTCCTAAAAAAGAAAAAAAAAAGAAGAGAGACAGGATTAGATAAGAACCAATTACAATTATGATGAGATCAATGACAAAACATATGTCAATAGCATAATTGACGAATATAAACGCAACATACCTCAGTCTCTTTTTCTTCAGAAGCTCCACCGTCAACATCTTCGGTGGAATCTTTACCACTATCTTCTTCATTATCTGCGGCATCTGCACCTTCTTTAACTTCTAAGTCAGACTTTTTCGTTTTGGGACTAGATTCTTCTGTTGAGTCTTCTTTATTCTCTGATGGTTTATCATCTGGTTGTACAGCATCTGTCTTTTTGTCTGTAGCAGTAGTATCCTAATATTGTTTTTTATTAATAATGAAAATAATGTTAATAAGCCATCAATTAAATCATGAGATTTCTTCAAAAGCACCTAAATTACAATCTAGCTTGATTATTTACCTTTTTGCCGCTCATTAAGCGATAGAAGAAGAATGCCAAGGGGGTAACAATCAAGACAAGAGCAATACGCCATGACCATGGATTGTCTTTACCGTATGTCATGACCTTATTCAAGAATGTATCCTACATATGAAATGGTTTGGGAGAAAAAAGCAAAACAAAAAAATGTGCTATAAATAAAAAGCATTTACGATACTAAAGTGTAAAACTACAAAATAAAAATTCAATATACATTTAATAGTTCTGGCAATAATTTCTTTTCAAAAAATTAATTTTTTATGGTAACCTCTTCTTCAACGGCTCTGCGATATAAATAATAGATATAACCACCAATTGGTATGGAACAATAAAGGAAATACAAGGCCCACCACCCGGGCTTATAGTTCATGTGGCGCATCAAACGATGCCACCAAGTTTTCTTTTTTTTTTTTTTTGTTATAAATGTTAAAAAAAAATTCAAAAGGATATTCCATATATCTGTTTTAATACAAAACTTACCGATTCTTTGTCAATGTATTTGCGTTTCAAATCAAATGTTTTGGCAGCATAATCAATGGCAACATCCAAATCATCAGTAATGATAATATTATCGAACAGAATCTCATTGGACATAGACCACAATTCAATACCAACAGCACCCTATTCAAATAAAGCGAAATTTTAGAATAAAAATAAAAAGGCCTAAATTTGGGAAGACTTACAATGGGTGTCATTTTGAAGGGTGTAAGGTCTTCGAAGAAATCAGGATTGGGAATCTTACGAGGTGACCATTTGCCTCTGTAATCGGGATTGTCAATCATAGGTGCCCGCCACTTGCCTTTGTATTCTTTGTTGGCAATCAATGGAGCCTTCCATTTGCCACATCCAGAAACCTTTTCGCAGACAGGATTATCAACCAAAGGTGCTTCCCATTCACCGTCCATATCAACATCCCAATCGTCAGGTTTTTGAGCTGAGGGATCTGAAAATAAATAAATGATACAAAGATTTATGAATACGCGAATCGAAAGGTATGTTGCGATAGTGACAATATGGAATTTTCTGACTTATTTAAAGGCTTAGGGGAAATATACCTAAATGAAAACTAAAATATTTGTACTGATGAGGATTTAGGACAACATCCCAATCTAATATTATCCCTTAAACCATACTGTAATTGTTATGAACCAAATTAAGAACAATAGTTGAAAAGATTCAAAATTGAGGAAATTCATTTTGTCATGTGACAGTCGAAAAGGATGTAAAATTTAGGAATTTGTATCAAATCCGAATCCGGCTTTAAATTACAAATTATAAATTACATTAAAAAGTTTTTTTCTGATGTACGTAGGATGACGTATTTCAATCAAATAGTCCAACATTTTACGCCTTTTTAATTACTTTGACTGAACATAGAGCTAGTTTCGTGTTTCCTTAAAAAATCTTTAGCATACCTGGAATCATTTCTGGTTCTTCTTCCAACCAATCACCGGGCATAACAGCACTTGGATCGGGAATTTGTGGTGGGGCATCATCATCCCAATCTTCAGGTTTTTGAGCTGTGGGATCTGGAATCTGTGAAAAATATGTTATTGAAAACGCCCCCTTATTATCTCAACGCCAATACCAACCTTTTCACGTTCGTCCCAATCTTCGGGCTTCTTATCCTCAGGATCATCGATTTCACGTGGTGGGTTAACTGGTGGTGTGAATTCGCTCAAAAGAGAACCTTCATTAATGATATTATGGTCCACACGGATTTCGAAAGTGTTATCGGGACGTACGATCAATGTGTACAAATGAGGTAATTTGTCCTTGAAAGGTTCTTCCAAGCGATCCCTGTTTCAAATTAAATAATGGCAATTTTAAATGCTGAACATAAACACTCATGACAATATATACTTACTTTGGTTTTTTGCAATGCTTTTCAGTAATGCTACCGTTAATAGGATTAACATGACGGAAAATGAAATGCATTTTTATGTCATTGCCACACTTGTCAGGTCCAAACATAATTGTGTAAGGAGTTTTGTCATTAAACTGCAAAGACACAACATGACCAAAGGAAATTAGTAAAAAATGAGGGATTATGAGTGTCTCCTTAAGGATACTTACCTTAGTAAGGTCATCTGTGGCTTTGTTGGCTGAAAGTAATTTAATATAGGCACCGCCGCACTCTTGACCTTCCTGAAAAATACCAAAGAAATATACAAAAGAGAATGTATAAGAAAAGAAAACCCAAGAAAACGTTAATTAAAACATACCTGTAAGGTAACTTCATATTGTACAACTAGAGGCTTATCCTCCTTGAATGTGAATGGTTTCAATAGTTTGGAAGCAATGGCTGCATGCTTAGCTTTGGATTTCAATACCAAACCAATGTCGTTTTTCCAAACAATGCGCTGTGGTGCCTCCCAACTCCAGACACCATCATATTTGGCGATTTCTTCTGCGATATCATCTTTTTTTGCCTGAGATTTTACCCATAACTTTTGTGATTTTTCAATGTCGTCAAAATGATCGACAAAATGGAATTGCTTAGGATCATATTTAGGACTTTCGTACACTAATTCTTCACCATTTTCATCGGTGGCTAAGGCGGGTGTATCATCCTATGGTAAATGGAAAAGAAAAGAGAAAGGGAAAATGTATTAAATATATCGTTGAATTTAGTTTCGGCAAATATTTGTTTGTGGATTATTATCAGTGTTTTATCTAAAACGATGGAGGAGAAAACCATTGTCACGTTATAAAAAGTCAGCAACTATACATTGGAATAGAAAAAAATGCGATGACACGGGGGATTTGTTTAACTTTGTCTACGCTTTTATCACGTACGTACGTGTTTCTTGGCTTCTATTGCCAAACGCCAATTCAAAGTTTGAGTGGAATGAGCTATAGGATAAAGTGTATGTAGGTGTCGAAGAGCACAACAGGTGTTAATAGCCTCACATTTAAGACTTTTTAGTTTTATTTTGACCTAATTTTAGATAACGATAACACCCTTATCACAGTGATTTCAGTCTTTAATTTTATTTATATTTTTTAGTCTAACCACTATAACCACAAAATACACAGCATAGAAACAAAAAAAAAAAAAAAAATAGCTTCCCATACCCACAGAAAGGGGGGAAATTTTTAATTAAGATTGACATGCTGACCGGCATTTGTCACCACAATCTACGTCACTGATATTTGGAATAAAAAGTGACTGGTTATTTTTTTATATCGCTTTGTCTAACGTCCATTGGCACACGTAATAGGGGTAACAAAAGTCCAAAGTAGTATTAGAAAAATGCAGTCACCAGATAGTGAATATTAATTTAAATTGAAAACAATTGAAACATATTTCGGATGCAATATCATGAACGCATTAAAAATGAAAATTTATGTTGGTTTTCAGCCAAAAAAAAGGGGGTTGGAATGTATTTCCACATCCGCATTGAAGAAATGAAGTATTTGTGGTTTTCGCTGAGAATACTAAGAAAATTATTCTGCTTATGAAATGGGCTAGGCGTTCCAATTGCACACATAATTAAAAATATTTCAGACAGAAACAAAGAGCTGTAAATAAAAATTCTCCTTTGAAAGTTATGGTTGTTTGGACTAGCGGTCGGCCAAGCCAAGCTTATATGATCCATGAATAAACACGTAGAGTTACAATGAACTTAATCATTCCGCAATTTATTTTATAGAGGTTTTCCTCGAAACTCGAAGCTGATTCTAAGTTTATTATTTGCCATCATGTTCATGATGTTCGAAGTATTTATGGTTTTCACTCACTCCTAACCGCAGAACGTGTCATTGTCCAAAGTGGTCACGTCGCATATCTTCATTTGCTCAACTACGATGATATGGAATTGATACGTCATATGAAATTCAATGTTTATTTTAATGGGAATGGACGAAAATTCTAAAAAATAGAAAGAACTCAAAAGAGTAGTGTAGAAATAAACCCAGCTCAATCACTGACATTGTGCTGAATGTTAGAAACTGGTTAAGGAACATTCACAAATATTTAGTTCTAACATCAGTTAATTGCGCAGATAAAAATGGTTCTACGGCTTAAGATTTGTAGAGCTACATAGAGAATTCTTTTCCATATCGTGTTATACAATTAAACTATAAATAACTCTAGTTCATTCTAAAACTCTAAAATTTATGTGCAATAGATAATGGGTCCGGTTATGCTGATTATATGTGGTTATGACTTTCGAATGACTTCAGAAGACGTGGACTGTTTTGGAAAAGCAAAACAGATGGACATCAACACACAAATAAAGTTGGAATAGGGTCCATCTGCCAATATTTTATCTATTTAGAAAGATACGCTGCTACAGAATTGATATACTGTGTTGAGTGGTGTAGGATGAATATTTGGGAATGAAGGATACAAAACATGTAAAAAAGCAAACAAAATTCGGCCGGGCCGAACTTAAAAAAAACATTTGGAAGGAACTTAAAAAATTCCGAAAACTACCTCTTAGATGAAAACCGTTATACGGGGAATATACGAAGAAGAGGACCGGCATACGACAGTTTTTGTCATATATTGTAGTACCCGAACTTCGAATACCAAATTTGAAGCAATTCCCGTGAATAATGTTGCTAAAATCATCAAAATACCGAATATCAGGAGATACCGACATATGGGGGCTATACGAAGACGTGAACCTGCAATTTTCTGTCTAAGGCTGTAGTATCTATTACGAACTTCAAATACCAAATTTGAAACAATTCCGGTGAATGTTGCTAAAATAATCAAACTACCGAATGTCGGGAGGTACAGTTATATGAGGGCTATATGAAGACGTAGACCAGAACAGACAATTTTCTGTCATAGGCTTTAATATCCATAAGAATTTAAAATTACAAAATTTTAAACAAATCCGGTGAATAATGTCGCTAAAATCATCAAAATACCGAATATCGGGAGGTGCAGTTATATGAGGGCTATACGAAGACGTGGACCCGCACAAACAATTTCTGTCATAGGCTGTAGTATCCATTACGAACTTCAAATACTAAATTTGAAACATTTCCGCTGAATAATATAGCTTAAATCACCAAAATACTGAAAATAAGGAGGTACCATCATATGGGGGCTGTACTAAAACGTGGACCTACATGGCCCTTTTCACTACCAAAAGTTCTGCAGGCATAATAATACATTTGAGTAAAATTTTATCAACCTACTTCATTTCGTTCGGAAGATAGAGTGATTTCCACAGACGGACATCGCTAATCCACATAGAATTTTATGCTGATCAAAAATTATATACTTTGTGGGGTCTAAAATGTATATTTGGAGGTGTTACAAAGGGAATGACAAACTTACTCCACCATACTATGGTGGAGGTTATAAAAACAATTTTTTGGTGGTATGGGTTTCATTTGACCCCAATTCGGCCATGCTGTCTTCAACCCAAGTAGAGCTCCAAATTTCAAATTGCAGCCAAATACGACCTCAAACTTTAGCATGTAATGCCAATCTCTTGAGAAGTATTTGTTTAAAACAACTTCAAATTTAAAACTGTCTCCAACGAACTTTTCGAATTGTTACAAATGTTATGACAAAATAAATGTATTCTCCATCTTTTGCTTGGTCAAAAACAAGTGATACATACTAATCTGGCAACACTATTGTTGTTTTTAATGGAATCGCTTGCACTTCATACCGACTAACAACCAACAAACCCAACAAGAGAAAACAAACAACGAAAAATGAGGTTATGTCACCCTTAACCCCACAAACGAAATTCACGCATAACACACACATATACACACCCTCATGCACCGACACCCGCCAGAGAGGAAAAACGAACAGTTCAATGAACGAACATGAAATAAAGTTTACTATTGAAAAGGGAAATACCAAAGAAGAAAAAATGTGTTAATTGATTAATCCAAAGAACGAGGAAAAGACACTAAAACGAATTACTAATTCACACTGGACTGTCTATCTACCTTTAATTAAACAGCAACAACAAGAAAAGGCAACAATCAACCACCACCACCGCCGTTATATGAGGGAAAATTCACAAATCAGAAAGACTGACGTGTACTTGGCCATAGAGCGAAAAACAACATTGGCACAAATGCATATTGTGGCCCCTCCATCAACAACTGACTCCGGCCGGTATGGAGGAGGAACTATGCAACTGGGTCACAAGATGAACTGTAGTAATGCCATAAAGTTAACATTTTTTCTTCAATTTCACTTACCTGAACTGCTTCAACGACTCCATCGTCGTCGTCGTTGAAATTTGATTCTGCTTCACTGGCAATAGTTGGCCCAATTAACAGGCACAATGCCGCGGCTAATAAAAGCACTAATGAGGAATGCGTTTTTCGCATTTTATTTTGTGTATTTTTTTTTTGTTCCGCTGCCCGTGTGTGACTTCTTGCTCGCTTCAGCAACTCCGTCAAATGTTCTAGAACAATTCGATTGTGAAAATAATGAAATATTTTTCTCCTTGTGAAAATTTCATGCACACACACTATTTTTTCTGTCACTACTGACGTTCAATTAACACTCTATTTTCCACCTACCGCTTTTATCAATTGTTTTGTTCCTCAATGAAAATTAAAAACTATTGATGCCACGAAAGAAAGTTGAAAATGAAATGTAGAATATAATCCACAGACAGTCAGAAAAATTAGAGTGGAATGTAAAATGACAGATGTTAGCTACTGCGCAGGGTTGATATTTCTCTGGTGTTGGTCTGTTGTTGTTTGATGACATTTTGTCGTATTACTAGGGGGGTTTCACATTTTGCGATGCGTCGTTAGCATTTATTTTTGTATCGTCTGAAAGAAACATTCTGAAAGAAATACGGAGTCTGTTATGGTAGATAATATATGTGGACGTGTCGTCACAGCTGCTGGGACAATGAACTATCAAACCAATTTTGGAATTGAAAATGTTGAATGAAAAATTATTTAAATTTTTAAAAATTGTTGAAAAACGCGAATTATAATAACCTCCGAATGACGTAGTAAAAGAAAACATATAAAAATCTACTTATATTTGGAAAAAAATTAAAAAAATTTTGACACATCGATGTTCCCAAGCGTTAATGCATCTACCTGTATTCTTCTACTATGATAGAATTATAGATTAAAATAAATCTGGGGGTTGAAAATATCTATTCTGGTATATTAAATCTTGTTCAATAAATACGGATTAAGAATTAAGCCGGAAAAAAATTCTTGTAGCCTTTAAAATATAAAGGTTTAGTTTTAAAAAACAGCTAAAAGCCCATTTAGACTATACCCTTATACGATGATTAAGGACTATTTAAAACTTCGACTACGAAAACTTTGTTGGGGAGGTACCAGAAGGAATGGTTCGATCTCTACCATCTTTATAACAAATCTTGTGTTTATGGAAATATGGATGTTATTTTTGTGTTTTATGAGCTTCATTGATATCCAAATATCTTCACAACAGACCTCGGGTTAATAAAAAATATTGTGATGTGTGTAATTTGAAGACAGTCGGACACTTACATCACATTTTATAAGAGTTATAATTACTCAAAATTTTGAAAATTTGTGGGCGATGTACTTGATGGAGTGAACCGATATTGTCAATTTTCACACCTGATATAGCACTTATGCAAATCTTATTATCTTATTATCTTTTCTTTTTCTGTGTAGTAAATTAGTTTTCTTGGAAATGTTGACATTTGGTGTGAGAGGAGTGGACCGATATTGCACATCTCCGAACTCGATCTAATTTTGACAGTAATATTTCGATGTACCATGTTTGGATCAAATAGGACACTCCCATCGAGTGTAAAAAACAGTTGAAAAATGCCGCTATAATTATAAAAATTTTGTAAATCAGATGTTACAGTTATATCGAAGTGGGCCTTTACAGCCAATTATCAGCCTGTTACGAACACCAAAATTATGGTAACTCTGTTGAAAAACGTAGCTAAAGCCATCAAAATACCGAACATTGGGTAGAAGTTAACCCCATCTGGTAGAAGCAAACCCTAGCTGATTTGACTCTATAGTAATAATAATGTCAAACCCGATATGACGTTTCATCATCATCAAGAAATGGAATTAAATCACAATTCCACTTCTTGATATGCAATAGGTATACCTATTTTGACATAATATTTCACTGCAGGACAATGTCAACATATTTTGTACCTAACAATAAAAAAAATCGCTGTTATACTTAACAAAACGCAAAATGCGGAAACCTTTTGTTGGGGTAAGGGACGGCGACACCACATTAGGCAATATAGTAGTATATTTCAAGTTTCATAAAATTGGAAAATGTAGAATACTTTATTTATGTATGTAGTTTGGTTTCAATTTAAAAGGAATGTGGCTTTTTCCATGATTTTCTAGCGATTGCTTGAATTGTTGAGAGATTCGGACCTACAGCTAAAAACTATATATTCAGGAGAATGATATAAAAGCATTTAAATTAAATATTTGAAAAACTATTCTTCGGTATGTTGAATTTAATAATTCAAATTCTAAAAATAAACATTTTTGAAATTAAAATATTTTATTGAAAATTAACTTTTGTTTAGATTTTTGGACATATAACTCTGACACTTCTAGTACGTACAAAAACAAATTTGTGTGTGGTTGTTGTTACGTGAATTACTCTACCTGTTGTCATGGTAAAATAAATAAGGTAAAGTCATTTCATATAAGCATATCCATCTCTGCATTCTCTGTAATTTACATTGCCAAATTTCACTGCATAGATAAAAGGTGCCCATCCTGGATGTGTGTATACATGGTGAATTTATAAATGAAAATTTTGACGAGATGTTGTCAAATGAATAATTTTGAAAAAAATTGTAAACATACGATTACATAACTTTACCTCCTTAATTCTACCATGGCTATTGTAAATATTTATCAACTGCTCTGAGCACCACTGAAAAGTCAGTATTTTGAAGCTTTATTGTGGATGTTTAAGGGTACTCGCATGGAACAATAAAGAGGTAGAAAAACAACAATATATTGTTTTTTTTTTAAATATAAAATACATAGCTTACTTTAAACGTGTTTTTAAAAATACATTCTTGTGTAAACGTTGCAATGGCTTTAAAGCCATTAAAATGTTGCATATGTTAAGGGGCATAATTAAAGCTGCAGGTAGGATTGGTAACGACCGCATTTAACTTTTAGTGTACAGTTCATTTTTTCTGAAACAATAATTTACTACATTTGTGACAATTACCGAAGGGAAAGGGCGAAACTACTGGTAGTTATATTAAGGTATTATCAATTGAAATGTCGAAATAAAGAATACAAGTCTAAAAATTAGAAAATTATGGAGTCGGGTCAATGCCAGGAAACGGAGGTGAATTGATATCATATATATATATGTATATATATGTATATATATATATATATATATATATATATATATATATATATATATATATATATATATATATATATATATATATATATATATATATATATATATATATATATATATATATATATATATATATATATATATATATATATATATCATATGTAGAGTTACATAATGGATTGAAGGGGGTCATGATCAGCCTATCAAAGAGACCACACGAAATTGAGAAAATTTCTTCTATAAATCTATAAAATTTAAGATAATGCAACCTTTAACTTGAGAGAATTTGCATATGATTAATTTCACCGTTTTAAAGGCTAAGTAGTAAGTATCCAATACCCTTCAACCAATAGCACCCTTTCCTATCCAATTTGTTGAAATTACAGATTATGACGGCGTTTCCTTGGGCTTTCGGTGATTGCTCAATTGAAATGTTGACATAGGCAAATACTAAATGCAAATAAAACTTAATAATAATAATAAGAATGTCCAAACGAAGGAGCAGTGAAAGGACTTGTTGAAAGTCACATCCACTCAGTTTGCCATGCACATGTATGTTCAAATGAACAAACACAAGTTGGACAGATTGAGCAGCAGTCTGTCAACATGGGCACATGGGGATGGACATTCATTCGAACATACTATGTTCACGCCATTGTGTGATATGTAATGATTTTGAAGGATGGAATATGAATTAGCGTCTCTCTTCTGCGATTTTTGTCTAGAAGTGGTCGGAGGCTCTGTAAAATTTGGATATTTCCTTTTTAAAGTAGGTTTGGGTTAAAGTTTTTCGTGACAATAATATTTGTTATTTTTTGTGAAAGTGGCATAATGTATCATATGTCAGAAAAAAATGCGTGTAAATGCAATTACATACATTTATAAATATATACTATCGGTGAATTGTTCGAAAACCAGTCCACCTCTTTGGATGTGAGTGTAAATATATTGTGCTGAAGGTATAAAGGTACCTTTGAATTTTTTGTACCAAACTGTTTATGTATATTAAAAAGAACATCGAAGTTGACAGATCCAGGTCCCTGTCAACTACATCTCTACTTAAATGGCAAAAAAATTAATAGATTTAAATTGACAAACATTTAACATCAGCACTAGAAGTTTTCAATTATTAACTGTTATTTCAAAACGGATGTGATGTAGACAAGCATATCGTTCGTAAACTAATCAGATGTACAGTGGATTACAAAGTCAAGGTATAATTGAAGAAAAAAAAAAAAAAAAACAAGTTAAAAAGTATATGTCGACAGATGTATACCCTCAGCTAACGTTCGTTTATTTAAATATATTTTGTTTTCTGTTATGATTTTTCAAATTGTTGACCCTCTATGGAGTAGGTTCCAGAGGAATTGGCCAATATTGTCCATTTCGTATCGGACCTTAATATATATAAATATTGCGACGTTCCAGGTTTGGACTATATCGACTACTTCCTTCTCTTTCTATGAGATATGTGATAATTTCAGAAAATGTTAAAATGTGAGTGAGGTACCAGATATAGTCAACCGAAGTATACCATTTTCATGCATACAGATAAAAATATTGGTATGGGCAAAATTACGAGAAAATCGAACATTTATATCCAATTTCATATGCAGTCATAAATTCTATATTCATCTCTGGTTTCTAGTTAAGAGAAATATTTAGATATAGAAAGTTGTAAAGAATCACTGACATATTTCGCAAGTTATGACAGATAAAAGTATTGAAAATTGTGACCCTTTGTGGCTGTGGTACCAAAAAGGGGTCCCCAAATATATATTATCTTCACAACAGACCTTGTCTTAGCAAAAATATGTGTAGGGAAAGTGTGCCTAAGTTCGGCATGTCACAGTAGTCGGCACTTTTTATTTTTAAGCCCAAATAAATGAAACTATTATAACTAAATGTATTTTGTTACTTCAAATATATTGTCAGCTATCTGTGTACAATTTCGCTAAGAATTTTTTTTTTTGTCTGTGAAGGTCCTCAACAATCCATATTTTTAAGAAAAGTACAATAAATACATCGAAATAGTTTAACTAAACAAAAATATTATATTTTAATGAATTAATTTATTTCTATTATTAATTATTCTTACAAAAAAATTTGTATGCCGACTGTTGGAAAATGCCATACCGATAATTGGCAAGTGGTGCCGACTACTGGCAAAAAAGCATTGTTTTAATAAAACTACAAATTTATGAAATTTAATAAAAAGTTATTAAAACTTTATTTATTATTGCAAAAACTATACAAAATTTCGAATCTGAATAAATTAACTTTGTAATAATTGAAAAGTTCCAATCAGAATGGTGAGCGATTAAAAACGCGAAAATCCTAAATG